TTCAGTGGCACTGAGTCGTCAATATAACGGGTTTATTGCAAATTTGCACGTTTTTAAATAAACGATATTTTGATAGTCGAAAATAATATTTGATCTTCTTTTTTCATATAGATCATATCTTGGTTGTACCCGTAGATATAGAATGCCCTCCATTCAGTAGGTTAAGTTAGTATATAATATAGCAGCCAGCACGACCCGAGCGCGAGACGCGAGCGTGTCGCGACAGCGCAGTGGCCGGCTAGTGCCAGAAGCGAATTTGCCCGTGTTCCAGAACATGGTTTCAGGTTTTTTAATTTATTTATTTTTATTTAATTATTTGTATTCAGGTTACAAAGACCCATAAATACATACCTTAAAGATTAACACACATAATAATACAATAAAACACGTATAACTAATTATTATTTACACGTATTGTCTACAACGTGTGACACAACGTGGGTGTCCAATAGCTGGCCTCGGAAACGTCGGTACATGACACTCTTCGATTAAAATATACATTTATTTAATTTATCTCACAGTGCAAGAAGGATCAACAATTAAAAAAAATTACAGTTTAGATTTTTTGCCTGCTGCTTTTGCAAATTTAAAATGATCATTTAAGCGCCTAGCGTGATGCAGTATAGCCTAAATCCTCTCCATCGAGACTCGCGTCATATATCAGTGGAATGTATGTGGTTTGAAACAGTCTCAGCAATGCCAATTTTTAATTCGGTCTTCTCTCATTACTCTCTGTCTCGGTCAGGTACAAGTTTTTTTAAGTTTCCTCGGTGCTGAAAGAATACACCTTGAAGGTTACCTGCTTCAGAAATACCTGAACGAAATGGTGTCAGACAAAAATACACTGCGATTACCTCAATTTGCTGACGCTCCGACTATTTACGCGTAATTATATTAATAATCTTACATTATCGTTTTCAAAATGAGTACAGGGTCAAGAACACACCAAATTTGGCACTAACGATTTAAATTCAACACTATACCGCTTACGATAAGAACGATCCACAATATTATGCATGATTTGCTCTTGACTGTAAAGCTGGCGCGCAACCAGCGTGCAGTTTGTCTGAGGGAAGAACGTTGTTTTTGTGCGCCTGACGCTTTGTGAACAGCAAAGGTTCACAAGGCAAAGTTGTTTAAGTTTTATTTTAATGCGCTTTATCGAGATTCTCGTCATTACACGGAGTTTCTTTTTATTTCAAGTATTTTTTTTAAAACATGCAAATTTCCAATACAGACCCATAAAATTCTTATAGCAAGAGACTTCGATTACTCCGGAGTAATCGAAATCTCTTGCTATAAGAATTTTATCCACGGTGCAAGTAAGAAGTTTGATGTACGCTTGACTCTACATTTTCATATTCTAAGGGGCAAGTAAGATTTTTGTCTTTATAGCTGTTTTTTTCAGTTAAGAAAGTATTGATGGTGCCCACTATTGGCCAAGAAAAACTTAATAATAATAATGGAGCAATATTTTTTTGTTAATATTGTAGTGGACAGCCATATTATTCGGGCCAAGTAAAGAGCTACCCGTGAATTTAGAACATGCTGAGAACGTTTTCGGTATAAAACCGCAAAAAATACATTTTATCGCATATGTAATAAAATGCAATGTGCATTGTCCATTTCACGTTAAATTTTGCACGCGTTTAAACTCAACTTTATCACACATATAAAATTATATGTACATGCATTTATGTTATAAGTTTATCTTGTTTTTAATAGTTACTTTTTAATAATAATTAATTAATTGTAGCTATTGTTATTATTTAAGTTAGGGTTAATTTTGAGTTATTTTATTTTTAAATTTTATTGAATCGACTTGTTTACTATTTATTATGTTTTCTGTCGTGTCCATTTGCATGCCGTGTTGATTTTAATTGAGGCAGTATTTAGTATTTGTCTCTGTTTCATTTCTTGTTCTTTGTAATATTTAATTCATGTCTAGTTGCATGTTCAAAAAAAATCTCTTTTCACTCTGATTTGGGAGGCAAGTACTTTACGTGGAACCAAATAAAATTCAAGATATCTCAGACAGTCCTTTTGGTTTCACATGAATTTTTGTTTTTTTTTAATTGCACAAATTTTTAACAAAATAACGAAATTACAGAAGTAATATATCCACACCGATAACCGACTGTTTCCAGCTATGTGGAATGGACCTGTCGTCCAATTTCAACTTCGGCAGATATATTAAATCCATGGCCAAAAATACAGCAAGGAAGCTTGGCATCCTTTCCAGTGTGAGGATAACTTTACACCGGGATAATTAACGCAGTGTTACGCTTCCACGTTTATACGGCGAATGGCTATGGAGTGGAATTCCCTGCCTGCAAACTTATAACTTGGATTTTTTTCAAAGCGCGAGTGAATAGTCATTATTTAGGAGAGTTATCGTCGATCTCATCGTCACTTTCCTTCAGGTGAGATGGAGGTCAAATGCGCACTTACGTTGTATATATACTTTTTATATATATTTTATATTTCTGTCAAGAAGTTTTGAGGGGTTAGGGTTGGAGGAGTCTTAAATTAGGTTGGTTGGGCATAAAGTAATTGGGATGATATCTGGTTAGCGACGTATAGTGAGCAAGGACAATCGTAGGTAGTGTCTTTATTCGTTCATAGTCCAAATAGAAATGATTTAATAATTGAGTCACAATGTAAAGAATCGTATGCCTACTTAACATTTCCTTCAATAGGCAAACCAGTGACTTCATAAAATTTGTTACATAGTGTATCAGAGACTATTTCGGAATTCAATTCGAAAAAAAATGTAAACCAATCATGTTTTCCAAAATACATAGTAAAAGTTTTAATTATTCTATAGTTTTATATGTTCGTAGTCCTTGTGGCTAATAAATTGAATTTGCTTGTTTCCGCATAACAGTGAAAGTGTTAAGTCAAACACTTTGGAAAGAATATGTAGTAAAATTAAGAATATACATCATTGACTTACAAATAAATGGACGACGGGTCTAATACAAAAACCACGAAAAAAATGTCCCAAGTCAACCTATTCGAAATTTAAATTGTTATGTCATCGCAGTATCGCGCTGTCCGTAGAACAAATGAAGACTAAAGCGGAGTGTCGCGCTCTGTATACGATTTTAGCGCCTTACAAGTGCGGACACTTTTTAGCGCGGACCCGACGTCCATATAATTGTAAGTCAATGATATACATTGATGAAAAAAAAAAGTTACCTCGAAATTTTACGAAGAAAACCGCTGTAAAAACAAAACCGCTGTAAAAACAATTGAATATCAATTCAATAAAAATTTAAAATACAGTGAATAGCGACATCTTTAGCAAACTAATACAGTAAAGTAAAAATAACAACAAAAACATTCCTTTCACGTTTTTAACCGGCTTCAAAAAGGAGGAGCTTTTTGTATGTATGTTAAGCGTAAGCTCCGGCATTTGTGAACAGATTTTGATGATTCTTGTTGGAAAGATGGTACCTCAGTAGTGGTCCCATTTAAATTTTAAGAAAATATTCCACCTCTAAGGGTAGCAAAGTAGGGAATGAATTCTCGCTGTAAAGGTACTAACTGGGTGATAAATCTTTCATAGATTTCTCATAGATGGCGCTACGACTAAAAAGTCGTTGAAAAACCAAATACAAAGACACGACGCAAGCATATAGAAAAATTCGTTGGGTCCGTTGGTTCGTTCCGTGGCTTTAGTTGGTATAGCGTCTGGAACGGTATGCAAGAAGACGTCGGTTAAAAATCCGACCGGATTGAAGGAATTTTTTCTGAGTGTTCGATCTTTGTATTAATGATTACAACAAACTAGTGGAGTAATTTCACAAAAAATAATTGAATATTAATTGAATAAAAATTAAAAAAAACCGCTGCAGGTATTCAATAGCTTTACAAATACCAATGATTTCTTAAATATCAACTGAAATAAATAGAATACTATACCATGTACATTTTTCTTAAATTTCATTTGTAAAAAGTAAATTCTGATGTAAAGCCAATAATCCCTGCCACTCGACTCAAGGAAAAAGAACCGTATCAGTACGGGATAAGTTTGAATTTAAGCAGAGCAAGAGTAGTCTAGTACCGCAAGAAATTTTTCACAAGCCAAGTATCTACGCATTTCTATACATATATGCGACCGTGTAGCTACATTCTCCTGTGGTATACGTTTGCTTAGAAAGAATCCTTCCCTAGTAGTAATAAAAGTGGCTATTAGTGGCTATTTTCAATGAATTGTGAAAGAGTATCCAAGGAGTACTAATGCCGCCAAGCAGTGATGAGAGCGTTAGCGCGTTCCAATTTTGTAGGGTAAGGGTACTGGTGAAATTAACGACACTTGTCAACTTATATGTCTCAGGGTGACAGGCGCAGTGGCAGTGCCGCTCAGATCTTTGTAATTTAAAGCTCTGAGTGGAACTTCAACTGTTATAGATCGGCGTGTCGCTTACCGCGCCGGTAGCATGACTTGTTCGTCCCGATACTTGGTAACATAAAAAAAAAGTGTAATTACAACAATTTGCAGCTGTACAATAGATTATCAACTAGTCTTAATGATCTTCAAATACAACTGATGATAGGGTATAATCAGGTTATTGCATTTATTGCTCCCTGCAAAAACATTCTACGGTAGTGTATTTGGCGCCCACAGCCACACATAACTTTTACATTTAGTGGAATCAACGACATTTACTGTTATTTTGCAACGTGTTCATAGCATTGTGAAAAAAGTACACACGTACACGTACACACTCAACATAACCCCGCACTAGTGAAACCCTGTGTCGCGGGTGCCATGGACACACACATAGACAACAACAAATAACACCCAAAATCAGGAGAGAAATAAATGTAGGCCATACAAATATTTCTCCCGGCCCGGGAATCGAACCCGGGACCTCTGCGTGGCAGTCCGGCATGGTAACCGTTCGGCCACAGAGGCAGTTGTAAAAAAGATATTGAATGAAAACAATATGAAATATGATGTTTGCGGTGCTTTTATATTTACATATAAAACGTCAAAGCGCCTAATAAAAGATAAAATTACACAAAATGACAATAACAACACACTTTTTTCTCTGAATTTTTTAACAGGCGCTTTACCATTCTAGACTGATTTCTTGATGAAACTTCATGAGCTCTCGAAAGATACCCTTTTTATATCTATCCTACTAAAATGAGTGAATGAATAATTAACCCATAAATGTAATAAAGAGTACAGCGGTACCATAAAGTGTTGAAGATTTTCACCAATGGACATGGTTCCATTGCGTAAATTGCCAAAATCTTATTTATATTTGACTGTCCAGTGTCAGCAATGGAGCTATAATAGACAGAGCACTGTATACTCGTATATGTAAATTTCTAAACAAACTTTGAGTACATTTATATTAATGTGAGTCAGTACATAATCATGGCCTGTTTCATAGTTCAAATACTTAAATTTTTTACGATATATAGGTAGCGAAATAACAAAAACAAAAAATACCTCCGCAACCCTTTTTCAAGTTGTGTAAAGTCCCAATATGACATACATAATTTCAATAAGAAAAAAGGTATCCATAATATTAGAGGTAAGTCCAAACTCATGGTACCATGATTTTGTTTAATCAAAATAAAAAAAGACTCTTTTATTAAGATTATCGCTTCCTAAGTTTAAAAACTACATTAAAAATATTTTAATAGAAAAGTCATTACAAAATTGAAGACAACGTGTTAGACAAAATTGAATGGCAAGAC